ATGAGGGCTCGGTGTGCCCAGTGCCAGGGGGATCCCGGTGCCAGGGGGATCCCGGCCACTGACTGCCAGAGATCTGGAATCACGGGATTATGGCCAAACCAAACACTCACAGTGCAAAATGTTCTTAGAGATCACAATCACACCACTAACTCCCCTCACCCTGCCCTTACGATGATCATGATGCCGACGACTGGGACGTCACCGTCACTTCAGACGTGCACCCAGAACCTCGTGCACAGTGCTATCTGGTTGGATGGTACAGACTACGAATTTGACTCAGTTTGGCTCCGCAAAGGAACCTGTTTCTAATGGCTGTCAGGTCAATGTACATAATAGCACGCGTGCACACGCGCACACACACACACACACACGCACACACACACACACACACACACACACGCGCACGCAGACACACACACACGCACGCACACACACACACACGCACGCACACACGCACACGCACTCACACACGCTGGCGCACGCGCACACACATGCACACACACACACACGCGCATGCTCACTCACACACGTGCACACACACACACACACACGCGCACAGGTTTGTAATTATATCTTTGTGGGGACTCTAATCCCAAAATGGCGACCTTAACCCCTACCCAGCCTTAATCATAACCATAAGTAACTTATAAAGACTTTCAGCATTTTTACTGTTTTGATTTCATTCACAGATCTTTCTGGGGACCCAAAAAGTGTTCCCACAATTTCAAAATACAGGTTTTTATTACATTGTATTACATTATTAGTCTCACCTCTGGCCTACTAAAGACACGTTTTCTGTCTTGCATCAGTATGTAAAATCTTTACGGTTCACATGGATCCCATACATTGCTTACCTAATACATATACATAAATTAGGAAACTATATAATCTGCTTATATAAATATAAACGTGTCTCTGTGTCTCTATGTGAGACAGCCTCTGCTTACCTGCCACCCGCTCATCCGCCTCCCGGTGGCCATCATCAGAATAGCGGGCAAAGTCCAGTGAATCCAGAGTGCTGATGCTTCCGGCCCTGTCTGGAACACAGAGAGACACATCGTCGCCTGTCATTAAGGCCGGGTTTGAAGTGCCTTCTTTATGATCGCTTACTGTCTGCTGGCAAACTTCTCAGCTCCGTGACCCATTAAATACCAGCCCAAGAGCCATACAGCAAAATTGTAGCATTCGTTTGGGTGGGACTAAGAAATGCACATCCAGTTAGTTTGAGGCTGATAACCTTGACACTGCCTGTCTTATCACTCTAGAAGGACCTCATCCTTACCGCTAACCTTCTCCAGCAGCTCGAGAAGGACCTCATCCTTAACCCTAACCTTCTCCAGCGACTCGAGAAGGACCTCATCCTTACCGCTAACCTTCTCCAGCAGCAGCTCGAGAAGGATCTCATCCTTACCGCTAACCTTCTCCAGCGGCTCGAGAAGGACCTCATCCTTACCGCTAACCTTCTCCAGCGGCTCGAGAAGGACCTCATCCTTACCGCTAACCTTCTCCAGCGGCTAGAGAAGCTTCATACACGGGACAGCAGAGCGTAAAAGTCACAAGCTCAAACTGCAAAACCCCGAAAGCCTTGGAGACCATGAGGACCACCTGCATTCCCCAATACTTCCAGAAGGAGTGATCCCCACCCAACAACATGAATCACATCCCGCTCCTGATGCAGTTACCATAGCAACCCCATCCGGCTCCTTGGAGGGCTTATGATCTCAACCTGAGACAGGGGAGGAGTCTCCATGAAGACATTGCCAAAAGTTGTAGGAAAACATCAGTGGTGTCCTGCTCTGTTTCTGTATGCTAGGAAATCGACTGGGGTGGCAGCAGAACCAGGCGAACGGGAGATTATAATCAGATCAGAGATCAGACCACAATTCTGTCCTCCCCTACTAATGGACCAGCATCCATTGTTTTCTCTTCGATGGATGATGTAGGAAAAAGGAGAATGAGAGATGCATGCTGGGAAGCAGGCCTATGAAGGACACTGACGTTGTTTAGCGATGTAACAGGCTGCAAAGCGCCAAAGCATTAACGATCCGATATTGGCAAAAAAGGCCGACATGTTGCTGCTTGATATTTTGTCTTCATGTTTTTATGAAGGGCATTGAACAGGGTTTCAAATCAGTAGAAGGCCATAAGAATGTGAGACATTTCCCTCCCCAGCAGCCAATGATGTTCCTCGATTTCAAAACGGCAAATATCGTCCTCGTGGTCTTATATCGCCCTCGTAGTCTTGGCAAGACCAGTGTTGCCATCTTGCCTCCCAACTTGGGACACAATGAATCATGGGTTGGTCTCGTTTGGTGAGGATGTAATGAAAGATGATGTGAAAGTATGGTCACACAGGCATCTCAAGGAACACCCCAGGTGTTTAAAGGGCCTTTATAAGGACCCGGGTAAGGAGATGCCTAAGTTCAGTCAGACATTATCACCGGTGTATGAAGACAACAGGAAGCTGGACAGATAAGGCACTCTACACATCACATGACACCCAGCAATTCCATCGATTCAGCTTGACGCCTGCCAAGCGGCAGCTCTGTGCTGAGATGTTCTGAGATGTTCTTACGCCACACTGAGCTGCCAATCTGGAACACAAAGGGTGAGTATATCTGTGTAGAAGCTCAAAGGGAAAGGCGTTCTGCTTGAGGCGTTATACGACTCTGGGGGTTAGGATTCTATGTCTGTGATTGGAAGGTCGTTGGGTCTAATCCCTTAGCTGTCAGAGTTGTTACATCTCTACTGGGCCATTGAGCAAGACCCCTAACCATGAGAAATGCCCCAGAGGTGTCAGACAAAGGACTCGACCCTGCGCTCAAACCTCTCACTTGTACGTGTGTGTGTGTCTCCGACAGGAGCGAGATGGAACATGCCAAACCTAAAAAATGCCTACGAACCCGTACAAATAAAACACAAGTAAAGCACCATCAGGCTTTGAGCGCAGCCTTCAGGATTTCAGGCATCCTGAGGGGAAGACAGTAAGAAATAATCTGAGGCACCGTGAGAGGAAACCTCAAGGTTCCCATCATTCTGAGGCCGGCATGCGAGTCCCAGTGCAACTGGAAGTGACACATTCATATGAAATGGTGATTATACCGCAGCGTCCCAGTAAAGGCTACAGGAATAAAACCCACGAGCGACTGTTAGGCAGAGAGCTGGGGGAAGAAAAAGCCGTTTGTTCAAGATTTCTGTCAAAAGCTCCGCATACGCCGGGCCTGAATTAGGGGCAACCCCATTTCTGCAAGAAAGCGACAACCACTGAGCTCCTGTGCATGGGGGTCAGTGAGGCTGAGGCAGGCCAGAGCTGGAAACACGCAGAGCAGCTTGGCAATAAGAAATAAGGTGAAGGGAGCCATTCCGGGTATCACCTGCCGATTACATGGCGATTACATGGCGATTACATGGCGATTACATGGCGATTACATGGCACACGGGCAATAATCACCGGGCTACAGAGGACGGGCGTAAACATCTGTTTGGATGCCGGCTTTGATACTATACAGATGTTTACTTACGTCTACAGTTTGATAAGCAGATTAGCAGGAGGCCCAAAACATTAACGAGAGGCGTATTATGACACACAAACGTTAGTAATCTGCATGAATTCAGTGTGTCCTTATGTTTAATAAACGTGTCGGACTTCGGGCAGCAAAAAGTACCTCCACAGCACCACCATCTCTCTACCTCGCTTATCCACGATGTCGCCTCGTTTACAAGATGTTGTGGATGCTGAGCTCTCCGGAGCGGCGCCACTTCAGCGGTCATCGCTTCCACGATTTACCGAAACAACAGCGTGTGTCGTGCTCCGCTAACCGAATTTAATAAATATAAGGACGCATGTTTCAGCCCCTCATCTAACGCCCTGGTGACTACCGTGCATGCGCCACATAATTGCGATGTGACATCGTGCAGCCCTAAAGCATGCGATAGTCACTCCTAATAGCGACCAGGTCTAGAGACCCAAACTACAGACCGTGACTGCACCGGTGCAGACTGCACTGTCAATCTCCTGCCACAAAATGTTTTTAAAGACGCATATCAGCATCTTATTGCAACAGCTACAGTATTGAGAAACACAGCGAACACGGCCGAATCTGACAGGACCTCAAAGAGCAGCATCACCGGGAAGCATTTCAGCTACGTTTTGTGTCTCCTGCTATCTGCAGTATAAGACAGCATATCTCATGCATGCTATATTACAAGCAAATTTAATTTCACAGCAATTAATATTAGGAATTCTCCATGAGGTGAAATATAAGGTTACATACTCAAGGCTAAAACTGGAGTTTTAGAACTAATATGCGAAACATTCCAGTAGATTTACTCAGATGAGCAACTGATTTTTTAATGATATAAATCATATTTACTATACATATGAGTATACACATGTATAATATTAGTGAGAGCACAGATGACAAGTTTTAAAATCTGGATTCTATTTACTTTAGGGAAAACTTTTTGTTGGTTTGCAAGTCTCACATGCAGTTGCATGCAATTTGCGATCTGCCCGCTCTTGATTGGCTGTTATGCAGGTGAGACCCCCACCCCCAGAGAAACGGCTTTGCAGCTCCCGCTGGAACACGGATCCACGGGCTGAGAGGTCCGGGAAAGTCACAGACTGGAAATCGCACATGGGCGTGTATTTCTGAGACAGGACTGTCCATACCCACATGAGTCTTAGACGGCTGCATGTGTTCATGCCAGGAGTGTAGGAGAGAGTTTGATATGGGGGGGCAAATGAAGTCTATCAAAATATTAAGGGGTACTACCCCCATGTTTCTACGCTCCCCCCCCCCATAGCAATTCAGAATCAGAAAATGTCTTTCATGTCCTTTATTCTGGAATAACACAAAGTCACTGTATTGCTTATTTGGATCTCTTCTGTTCCCAGTCTGAATAAGATCATAAGACCATATTGCTCCGCCCACCATCTGCCTGACCCGAGACCCCCCCCCCCCCACACACCACTTTGCCCTGGAAACCCTGCCCCACTCTCACAGGTCACATGTCACGGCTATAATTGCGCTTTCACAGCAGGCAAATGAGGAAGCAGCTTTACCCGGAGATTATATCAAGACTGGCATAAAGCCAGGCATGAGCAGGGAAAACATCACTACGATAAGGACGCACTGGGCAGCGGGGGTGCTGTTCCGGAAAAATACCGTGATCTAGGAACAACTTCCAGGGAGGTAGACCCGTGTGTGTGTGTGTGTGTGTGTGTGTGTGTGTGTGTGAACATAAGAACATAAGAAATTTACAAACGA